ACTTCTCGCTCTTTCTCTCTAGGTTGGTATTTTGTAGTGACGCTTTGTTCATGATTCTGTTCAACCTATTATCATCGATCCCTCGCGTCCGGCTCATCCCTTTGATGCCGTGAGCAGACTACCACCCCAGTGACTGGCCAGGTGCGAAAAGAACGAAAAAACATTAACACCGAAAACAAGATTGCTAGTAAATGACATCTCAATGGTCTTCTGTGCTGACCTGTTCAGCACCAGATGAAGCCACATAGTCTTCACTGCAAGCAGTGACATACAGGGCACAACTGTTCAATATTTAATATCAGCAGAGGTTAAGACTATTCAAGACCCGCACGTGGAAAATAAAGCAAAAGAAGATCTGCTGAGATTAAGCAACCGGAAAAAATATTTTGTGCAATTTTTTTGTTTTTATAAGCTTAAACAAGGTTATAATTAGAAAGCTTGGTGGCTCCTGAAATTTTGACCACCTGAGGTTTTTACGGTGTGCTGCCACCGCCCAGTACACGGGTTTCTACCCGCCACGGTGGCCTTGACTGATTACGGGGCTCGACGGCTGACCCGCATGTCGCGGTATTGAAGGCCAGCCGCAGCGGAGGCGTTTTCCATGCAGGCAAAAATGCTTAAGGCTCGTGTACTTGGATTTAAGTGCATGTTAGAACCCCAGGTTGTCGAAGTTTATGAAGTCTTACTCTACGGCGTTCCTCATAATCATATCGTGGGTTTATGACGTAAAACACCAACAATTATGATTATGCGAATTTCCAGCATTTAGCTTTCATTGAAATGCAACCGCTACTACCGGTATCGAAGCCTCTTCTTTGGGGTCAGCAACTTAGCTCCGCAATTACTGCATCATTCACGGTGGCTGACTTCATTTTTTTGTTTGTAAAAACTGCTGGATGCAGAAGCTCTGGTGGTAGCAATTTGTGCGGAAAGTGATTCAGGTGTTTTTTCTAAATCAATTTGTGGTAGCCCAACACGTCTTTTTTATTTTTCTTTGATGAATTCCTGACTATTGTTCGACTGCTTTCCTGTTGCAGGCATTATGTATACGCTTCGCCAAGTAATATTCGTTGCTGTGGTAGTGCTGTGTCTGCTCGCACTGATTCTGGCAGCTCCAGCCAAGAAGTGCCCCACCTACTGCAAGAAAGAATGCCTGAATCCAACTCTTTGCCCACCACAGTGTCAAGAGTGCATTATAAATTAGTTCGTCTGAAGGTGAGTTTGTGCGCCATTTTGAACTTTTCGCTATTTGGCCCCAAAAGCAGCAGGCCTTAGACCAAGAGCGCGACGTGCCAGATAAGAAACTATTGTTAATATATGCGGGAACGACAGCCAAGTCAACACGTATACTCGCCTACAAAAATGTGAAGCTGATAAAGCTAGTGCACACGAATGCGTACGCTCACTGTGATAACTTTTAAAACGATCCAATTTAGGACTACGCAGACAGGACGATCAGCATATTGATTTGTTTATTTTGTGGCTAAGCCAAAGTTACCACCAATGAATGACGCGGAATGTTTCTATATCCTTCAAATTTCAATAGCAAAACTTCCCATTTTGCACTGGTGATGGCCTAGAACTTTCGCATATGAGCAACTACCTACTACTGAAAATCGATTGACAATCTTTTTTGCAGTGTACATTTAGCCACGGCAATATTTTTGCGCCTTGACCCAGAGTTTGTGGGTAACGACGACAGGTCACGACTGCCATAGCTTTTCACACCACCGCCGCCGCTGGTGTCTGGAACCAGAATCGCAAAAAAAAAAAAGACCGAGTGAATAAAAACACCAAGGACACAGTAGGATTCCAACCCGGGTTTACTGCATGTCAGCCCAGTATTCTACCATTGAGCCACGCCAATGCTTGGAACTCGTTTCTAAACTGGCCTTAGGAAGGCTTGATGTCGGGAAAGGAATCGAGTTAATATGAATAATAAAGCATTTCAGAATTTCAAAGAAAAATCCAGGCATCACACAATGCGAATGGCGTAACGAGTGGGTCGCTTAATGCTCCCGCTAATTAGAAAAACTTCATCACCAATTAACTGTGGGGCGTACGAATACTTCAGACAAAATTATTCATCTTCGTCAGCCACTGCATTAAAATTGTAGAAAATTTCTAGCAACTGTGTAGATGATAGCACGATTGTCCGCAGAATAAGGAGTTTCGCCCCTAAAATGATTTTCAGGGTATAGTCACCTACAATTTCACAATCATAAAAACAATACTCTTATCGCGAGACGACGCCTGGTAACCGAGAAAACATGCGAAAAGCGGGTGGAAACGCTACCTTCAAACTTCCGCCCCAGACACGGGGACGTAGAAGGTTTAGAAGGCATATACAGGGTCCTACGTAGATTGTAAGTAATAAAATTAAAATACATTGCTATCTATGGGTCCCATGGACCTAGCATAAAAATTTTAAGAAAATTTCATCGAGCTAACGTCGTCAAATACAAAAAGTACACTCCTAAATTAGGCACTTTACGCTGCAAGATTTCGGCGTGAAATTCAAAAGTGAAAATTAAAGCTTAAGTAGCCTAATTTTTCAGCTAGTAATGAACTTACGTCGATGAAACATATGGCACCAGAGTTCTAAGAGTGCAGTTTATAAATCTAAACTAAGTATTCGTTGCTCTTTAGTGTCCCTTCAAATTTATTTTATGATAGCTCAGCGTAAAACTACAGGGTTCATTGCATTTGAAAGTTTTCTTGTGATAATATAACCTGATAAACTAAGACACGAGTGTCAGGTAATGCCTACGAATACGGTTCATTATGAATTGAAATGCCTTGCGTAAATAGCTTCGAATTGGAAATGATGTACGTTGGTGCCGATTTGTTGTGTGAGCCTGTGGGAATTGAGGCTGGCCCGCTGCCTTTGCGCGGGCTTTCCCGCCTTTTCTGCCGTTCTCATGTCCCGACATGTCTGCCCTCCTTTGCTGTCTGCCGCGCTGGGAAGGGCGGAGTGACGTATAACTCCCTCACCCGGTAGCGGATGTTGACTGTGGCGCCGCGCGCGGGGACTCCTGAGAGGTTTTCGCGCGCTGCGTCGGGAGCGGTCAGATACACTCCGGGACATGAGAACGGCAGAAAAGGCGGGAAAGCCCGCGCAAAGGCAGTGGGCCAGCCTCGATTCCCACAAGCCAAGCCCATTTGGTGCTCAAAGTAGGAGTGAACTGCGCAAAAGATCGCGTTTCTTTGTGCCCTCCAGTATGACCCATGCATCTGTTGTGTCTGTCTTCATAAGATGCAGCATATTCCGTGTACTTTGCAATGTTAATTAATCAGCTTCCCGAATAAGCATGGCCAGCTTTCGACAACGCATCCAACGTTCCATTTGTTTCCGCCCCGCAGTGATAGCGTGTTACGCTTGCCATTTCAGCCATGTCGTCGTGCGCGAACATTGCAAAGAAGCCGTAAGGGAGAAATCTGCTGCTTACATGTGAATACTTCTAGTGTCTTGGATATATTTTGACACTTTGAGGTTTTTCGGTGGCGCTAGCTTTTGCCATGCGAAGAATGTCGCTTCACATCTTCACAGATACGCAGCCGCCGTCATCATTCCAGAAGCTCTCATCGTGACATACCAGGTGAACTCAACTTGCACAGTGGGTGGTCACATAGGCGGAGGTCAGGTTTGCATATGAGTTACTAATAATTGTTCACTAAGCGAGAAACTTCTGCAGCAGCTGCTCGCCTATGTGTCTGCATTGTAAGTTCTTTGCAATGAAGCACTGTAAGGTTGACCAACTCTTCTTTCTACATTGAGTTCATTCAGCCTATTTATATTGTAATGTGATGGCCGTGTTGGTGGCACTTTCCAGACATTTTACATTTGCTATATGTTATCAAGACGATTCGTAAGCTTTCTAAACGCATAAAAAAGATGGTTCACACAACCCAATAATTCTATGGGATTATCGGAGAAAGAACGTAGAGTTCATAATACACGGTATTTCAAAAACAGTGAGTATGATAAACAAACGTCACAACTCAGTTCCTACATTCGCTAAACGACAGTTTTACTTTACGGATATGTTCCCACCTTCATTACTGCATACTTGTTTGAGGATCACATATCAAAACAATCACGACTTTTTTGTTACGCAAAAAGCTCTTTGTTTTCCTCATAATTCATTATAACACGACCATCTAACCTCATTTTTCAGCGTGAATCGTATGCACAATATCTGCGGAATGTATACCGATCGACTCCCTGAGCTCATTTATTTTCAATATACAGCCGATTTTCAAACGTTTCTAATCACTTATCGCACTGATTCCCATCCTGTATCACTTCACACATTCGGCGTTCATTATGCCAAAGACCAGACCTAATTACAAGATACAGTTATTAAATTGGCAAATTACAAACCTTCTAAATACCCACAAGGATTCAATATTATTTTACTACATATCACACGCTGGTAACATTCAGCAAGCTATCCAAAGCTGACTCCATGAGTGTGTTGCTCAGAATATTTTATAACTATAATATTTGAATTATGGTTCCCCATATAGAGCTTCATTCAGTTATCTGTCACGTAGTTCTTTATTTATTGGTTATAATTTGTGGTATGTCGACAAGCCATTGCTGTCGATAGCTTGATAATTCTGTTTTCATATCATTGATTCTATATCATCTCTGTATTATTTATGAATATAATATAATATAATATAATATAATATAATATAATATAATATATATAATATAATATAATGTATCTTGTGCTAAAATGTAGTCGCATTTTTCTGTCACAGAATTTCATCACTGTTTGCATGTCATTTCGAATGTTTTTTTTTATGAGTGCTAGTACTTTGTGTATAATATCTACCACATGCATGCGAATATTTTGTGCGGTGAATGCATGTATGCTGCTAGAGGACTTGTCAGGTGACGTTTCTAAACGAACTTTTTCCACAAGCACCACGACAATCTTTTATATTTGCACAAATCAATAAGATAAGAAGAAAATGAACAACAAGCAATCTGTGATTTACAGTAGTACCTAGAGCGGTCGTACTCTTTATTCACAGCATATTTCACATAGGCTTAAATGTGCTTAAGTTTCTTTTTACTTTTCGTAAAAAAATAGCCTCGAAATGAAAACTATCTTCGCCCACATTGCCGCATGCGACGAAGGTGACTGTGAGAAGACAAAGCACTCTTCCCTATACAAACAAATGATAGAGCACTACGCCTTAGCCATGCACAACACTCGCATCTTCATGGCTGCATTTGACGCGGTCACGACAGCAAACATCGACAAGGCAGCTGAACCGTGAGATAAATTACAGGTGCATAGGACATGCACAAACAGAACATGTAGGACCCTGTTTCTGGCAATGAAACGCTCGCCGCCCAAAGTCTTGCACGTGGTGTTGTTCTTCATCGAAAGAGAACTTCTGCATCGTGCGTTTGTAATGAGCTGCGCTCATTTCTCGTCGTACTGAGAAATGCCAGCACCGCAAGTATTTCTCACGTCAATCATTAAGGACGACACGGTGCTTGATACACGTAAATTTGCGGTTCAGAGTCTTATACGGTAATAATTATAAGACTTGATGCCTTGATACAATACTGATAGATGTCCGCAGGCACGGAAACGTTTTCACGGCGTCGCAACAGCAAATTGATCATGATTCTTCTGAATTGTCGACTTTTTTCAAATGAGCTTGTAATTTTTGTACCTTACTTAGATTTTTTCTGCAACGAACTAAATCCGGACAACGGTTGTGACGGAATAAGATGTAGGGTAATAAATTCATTATAAGTACTGGACAGCTTACAGAAGGTAATGTGAAACCATGACAGCCCATTTCTGTCAATGACAGCATGTATCTTTTGTAGGAGCTACTCCTGCTGTGCTTCAGAAATGAAGAATTTTCGGACACTAAATCTTGCTCCTTAAAGAGTACGTTTCTGTGAATAGAAAACTTGGAAATGAGAACAAATATGTACGTTACTACCACATTGTTAAAGTTTTTAAAGAGTGCTACCCAGGTACGAAATTGAGAGCCGAAGCACTTCCCCCCTTCGAGTGTAAACAACGTTGCAACGCGAGTTGCTTGCTTTGAACCGCACGTGACATTGCTATGCGTGCTATGAAATGTACAAAACACCCTGCCTCCTTGTGTGGTGCACAGTGGCTGGAATGCACCTCATGCTCTGATTCAGCCAGAGAGTTGCCAGCTTGGCCTATACTGGCGCTTAAGCGCACACTCAGGCACGAATGTGGGTTCTCTGGAAAAGAAAAAAAAAACTCACACATATACGCACGGACAATTCTATGTGACACCATGCCGCTGGCCTCCGCTGTTAGAGCGGGAAGTAAATTCCGCCAGTGTTCGAAAATTCCCCTCTTAGTGAAAAAGAAAGTCAACGTCGCAAGCACCACAATGAGAAACATCATCGTCGAGTTCTGTACAATTGGAGGTTGATCACATGGCTTCACTGACAGTGTCCGACGCTTGCTACTTCAACGGTCGCTTTCGCCGAAGGCCCCAAGATGTAGGAGACAATCATTTGTGCGCCTTGGAACGAAGATAGCCGGGTTCCTTATGCGTTATAACAGGTCACTCAGATGCTGGTCTCTAGCACGACAAAGTTCGCTCAGCGCTCAATGTGCACGCAACAGTTTCTAGCCTTTGCGCCAGCTGGAGCTCCTGGCACACCTCGTCATCTTCGAGTGCCTCCAGAATCTAGAAAAAACAATATCAAGAAAAATATTATTGCCATGTGTTGCAAACCAAGTGGATGCACATAACTAAATGAATAATTCGTGAAAAGAGCTGCTAAATCATATCAAGAAATTAGAGATACAGACAGACAGACAGACAGACAGACAGACAGGCAGACAGACAGACAGACAGACAGACAGACAGACAGACAGACAGACAGACAGACGGACGAACGGACGAACGGAGGGACAGACGGGCGAACGGACGGACAGACGGACGAACTGACGGACAGACGGACGAACTGACGGACAGACAGACAGACAGAGGGAGGGACGGAGGGATGGACGGATAGATAGATAGATAGATAGATAGATAGATAGATAGATAGATAGATAGATAGATAGATAGATAGATAGATAGATAGATAGATAGATAGATAGATAGATAGCAGGCTGATTGGGGATATTGCTTTAAAGAGTTTCCTACCACGGCCAAAATACAATTTCAGCATAAACTAGAGCTGTTTTATGCGCGTGTACATGGGACAAGAAATATAACAAGACTTTGCAGCGGCAGAACACATCATGGTGTTGAAGAGGCCACAGGAAGGAACAGAGCTCGATGGAATAGAAATGTACCTTAAATGAGGCCAGAACAATTTCCTGTCTTTTTTCTGGTTCTAAGTACCCGCGCAGTTTTTTTTTTTTCGTTACGAAGAACTTGGGCGCTGATGTGATCTTTCAGCCACTACCGAAATTGTTGCCTTGTTTATTGTTGCCTTGTTTATTGTTGTGTTTTGGCGTTTGTTACGGATAAAGAAATAGATCGCTGTGAACTTTTGAGCCAATTTTTTTTTGATGACCCTAAAAGGTCAAGGTAATAAAGTGGAGCTCCTGAACATCTGCTGAACTTCGTCTTTCTACAAAGCGGTTACAGGGCACATGGAGCCAAACGGAACCGAAAGAACGAAGCTCAGACACCACCGAATAGTACTACTCAAAATTGCACCACTCGCGGAAGTGCCATGCATTGCAGCTCCCATAGGCACTAGCGCCAAAGTTCCCTCTAGTGTATCATTCTATGCATTGCTTAATTGGAAGCCATGCACATAATACTCATGGACAGGAGTTTCGGGATTCAGACACACGTTGGCGTACTCAGTGCACGCGATTAATGTAAACTGATATTTCGTTTTTCTCTCTTATTTTATGTCGCACCGTTAGTGGTCTCTTAGACAGCTTACCTGCTCAGAATACTTTGTTACGTAAATATACAATTCTTTCAAGGCATTCAGGACATCAACTTCTCCTGCATGCGCCTGTATAGAAAAGAGAAGAGGTATAAGTGGACGCTTACAACACCACTCACATAAAATGTGCATGGGGAGGACATGGAAATATGAACGCTTACCACCGACAGCGCATGCATAGCAGCTCTCATCTCCTGGTCAGAAACTTGAGGCAAGGCCGCCACATCCTGGTAGAACTTGCTCACAAGTCTTCGGTAACTTGGAATATCTCTTGCAAATAATAATTTGTTGGAAGGAGAATCCTAAAGTATGACAAAAAGTCGATGTTGAACATGTCTCCATTAGACTCTAGTATCAGTACAACTGAATGCATTAGAGCAAAATGTCTCTAGAAGCGGCTGGATTCTACCTGCACGATGCCTCAAGCAACGCGACAGAGTAGTTGTTATTTGTGCAGTAACATTGCGAATGACGCCATTAGTAAAAGCCAAGGTGATTAAAACACAAAAATGCATATCTGAAGTTGACATACACACTGAAATTCACTGTGTTTATTTCTTCCAGGGACACTTTATACAATTTCTCCTTTATAACTTTTTGATAAATACACAAGTTTTTTTTTCATAGAGCCACTTACGTTATTTAAAAAACTACGCAGATGTATTTACAAACAAAACATAACAGTATTTTTCCAGCATTCACATTCCCAACTAATGAAGTATACAAATTGAGGTCCGGCACCTTTCCAAGTCTGTGCTCTGTCGTTGAACAGGCGTCCATGAATGTCTGTGCAATCACGGAAAGACAAGCGTCTAAAATGGGCGTCTTGTCGATGTCAAAAATGAAGTCGGGGTTTTTGACTAGGTTCACCCAGAATCGCAGGGGCAAGCTGAAAAAAAAAATGTCACAGAAAAGAATGTTATTCAATTATCCTAATAATTCTTTATCGGACGCACACAGACTTTCCAACAAGAATGTCTGAATTTGAGCCCCTCTGTCATAGTTGTAGAATATACTACTGACGTCTTCTGTACAGCACCGGACTCAATATAACTATTTTATAGCAGTCAAAAGAAGGGAACACAGGGTAATGAAACGAATTTCATGCCAAGTATAGTTAGACATCAAAACTACGATGTTCAGCTTCTTGCGAAGTCCGGTTTACTTAGCTACACGAAGTGGTGGAAAACGCGAATTACAAAATACAACACACCGGTGGAAACGTAATGCGCAGTTGCTAACTCGCTTTTACAATACAATAAAGTATCACCATGAATTTATCTATATTGGCAGTAACTGCGGAATACAGGGAATTTACCTGAACGTGAATGACGTAAAAAAAGAGGAAGTAAGACATGTTAAGTGCGAATGCATGAAAAGAAATAATCAAAACGAACACAAACATCGTTACTTTTTCTACTCTTGTGTGGGTATCTGCATGGTTAATAATTTTTAAAGATGAATCGCCACCAAAATGTCCAATTTGTCGTCGACTTTCCCCCTACCATGACATTTTCTCTACCACTAATATTACATCTTACATAAAAGAACAAAGCATTGAGTGAGTTGGTATTTCGCTGTGACTGGCATTTTTTTTTTTGTAAGAGACTACAGAACCTAGTTTAAAGGATAACCTATTTCAACATTGTCTACATCTTAAGAGATTGTAACTATCTTCCTGCATTGAATGAAACTAAAATGTCGTCGAGGATCAGAGGTAGGACCGCGCGATAAATTTTTGGGGCTTTCTACGTTCACGAGTCAATGCCATTGGTAACTCACATACACTTCAGATTATCTAGACGCCAACCTGAAGTCTTAACCATGTCGCTTCGCATATTCTATATCAATGTGTGTTTATGTGTTAATAAGCATTCAGTTGTTGTCTGTTGCTTCGTTGAATATGCGCCTTAAATACGTGTTGAGTACGCGCCTGATAAATCATAGAATGACAATCGTTTGGACGTGCTGTGCCTTCACTCATTGTGGGAGCTTTCCTGACCGTAGTGAGAAAAACAGAGTGGCGTATAATTTTTTATTTTTGTGTGCGGCTATGCTCTAATTGATTAAATTTTTTATTATACGACACGAAGTTGCGACATTAGGTGCCAACCTGTTGCTTTTCCACGCGTGGCACACCTCCGCGTCGACAATGCCGTAGGTGGAGGCAGTTGTGTCCAGCAGGTCGAAGAGCCACTTGACGGCACAAGGAAGTGCATCGTTGACAGTAAGAATGTTGTGCAGGAAGTCGTCGACAAACTTCTGTATAGTCCCCTGCCGAATAGATCACGCAATTTTGAATAAAATTTTACATCAGAAATGTTCTGTGGGCTTACTAATATTGACCGGGTAGATAAGATAATTCTTACCACGTCGAATAACTTATTTGAAAGATCAGTTGAAGGTGTGGGAGTTTGAAATGTTTACTTGTGATGCCGCATATTTCAATCTAGGTGTATGAGGCGTATAATTAGTACTTAATTTATTCCAAATGGGTTTTGCGGAAAGCCACAAGGTGCCAAAAGGTTCAAATAGAAAGTAGACAATGAAACACTCATTTGTAGCGCAAAGTCACAATGATGTCCATATAGATTACTCAGAGAGAAAAAGGTTCTTATTTGCCGGATAATTAGTCCTGGTTGGGGCATTGAAACCGGTATCAACGCCTTTCTAGGGCGGTCGCTTTACCGATTCAGCCAACCAGGAACCTAGCGATTGGAAGCGCGAGGGTGAATTCGTAGACATATACACCTCACACTATCTTGTGAGTTTCCGCAGAACTCAATTGCATTACTTGTGGCCATGTTTAGACTTTCCGATGAATTCGCTCTCACGCTACCAATCGCTAGCTTCGTGTTAGCTCAACTGATAAGAGCGACCGCCCCGGAAAGGCGTTGGTACCGGTTCGATGCCCGGACCAGGACCAATTATTAAGACAGAATTCCGTCCAGATTTTCTTGTGGTTTCGTGATACAATCAGGGGGTTGTCTACTTTGCCTTTCTTAATACTTAATTTTTTTTTATTCTGGGCTTTCTTAAAGATTCTAAATTACTCGGTTGGATTGCGGATTATTTGGGTTCTCGATCTCAGTTCGTTACTTTCAACCAGGTGCACTCATCCCCTGTTGAGATCACATCCGGTGTGCCGCAAGGCTCTGTGCTAGGGCCTCTCTTGTTTATTATATTTATTAATGATGTTGTTAATGTCATCTCTAGAACCCCTGTAAACATACGTCTGTATGCCGATGATTGTGTACTGTATAACTGCATTACTACCTTTCAAGACCAGTCAGTCCTCAACAACGTATTCTTGTTATTCTGCAATTGGAGCTCAACGTGGCAAATGCCCATAAATTACAAGAAAACTGTAGCCATGACTTTCTCAAATAAAAAAACAGCCTCTCAGTTTCAGTTATAACTACAATGGGTCCACTCTTGCACATGTGAGTGAATTCAAATACCTAGGCATCACCTTTACACATGACCTTAAATGGGGCAAACATGTTGATCAGATAACTTGTGAAGCTCTAAAGAAAGTTGGTTACCTAAAGCGAAGATTGAAAAACTCGACAAAAGATTGTAAGTTAACTGCCTACAAGACACTAGTGAGACCGATGCTCGAGTACGCCTCTGTGGTTTGGTCGCCTCATCTTGAGCAAGATAAAAACAGGTTAGAGTCTGTGCAGAATAAGGCTATACGGTTCGTTTTTAACCGTTATGATCGGGACTTCTCCCCGTCTTCACATGCTCATTTGTTGTCACTTCATTCACTGGAACACCGCCGTACACGTGAGAGTATTATCTTGTTGAACAAGATTGTACACAAAATGACTCGCGTTCACGCGCCCTTATCTTTCGCTGATATACCAGCGCGTACAACACGTAATACAGACGCTTTGAACCTTGTACCCTTCAGGTCTCGTTTGGATTGTTTCAAATTCTCTTTTTTTCCGCGTGTGGTGGAAGTTTGGAACAAGCTTGATGGTGCATTGCGTGTAATGAACACTGTAGAGTTCGTGAAAAATTTTATGTGTTAGTCACATAAATTTGTGCGCACTATTGTTTGTTTCTGTGCTTTCGTTGATTTTTCTGCACCCGCTCCTGCAATGTCCCAGGCATGGGACAGCAGTATTTGTAAATAAATAAATAAATAAATAAATAATAATTGCTTGGTTACAATATCAAATACCGCACATATACTTGAAAATGAGAGTGAAAGGTTCCGTAAGAATTCAGTAAGCTGATGTAGACAGACGGCTGAGTGAAAGATCTATAGCCTGAATTCCGCACGGTCATACTTTAAAGTCCAGTGCTCAATGGTGGAATATAATAAATACGCAATTCTGAGGGATAGCTGAAAACGCCGCACGGTTATAACTTTTGAGCTGAAATAGGTATTAAGGACACTCGTAGAAATGTTTATTAGCTGAGGGCTGTAATTCGTGTCATTTTGAGCGATTGTTGTACAAGGTAACCATACCACGTCAGAAGTATGTTCTTTCTCTCGTTTGTTATCCTGCCGCACCACACACAATGTATATTGCATACGCAAAACAAAAAGTAAACACAATTTCCTTCGCTGTGACTCTTTATTTCAGTAGATGCCTTCTCGCACAACGGTTTTTCGGTAGTTTGAAGCGGCTCCTTGTTTCTCTGTGATGCATTGCCACAGTGATTCTTATTTAGGAGCTGGTTCAAACAATGTGTCACAAATTATCTCGTTTCGTGAGTTTCGCCCATTTTTGATGCAAATAAGCATTCTTAAGCCACTTTTTTTGCTAACAGTGGTGTTGATATTTGCCTAGCTTTCAAATTCACATTACGCAGACAGAGCGAGCTGGATAACAAGAAAATATAAGTTGACAAACGATTTCTTGCACCTAAAAGATGAGTCAATAATGAAACATATGCCTCATGTTGCGTCGCCAAATTTAGTGTTGCAGTACTAGGCGGATAGTGGATTATACCTTTGTGGAAAGCAGCCTGGTGAGGAATATTTCTGGAATGGACTTGTGCCGCTGGTCCTGCAGAGACTCCTGACGCTCATCGAGGGGTTTAACCAAGTGCCAATACTTCACAGTGCTGCCGTATTGAGCCTCGTAATTGTTGTTCCGTGCAGGAAGCGTGTTGATTGGCCCATACGTAGACGTGCCTTTGAATGGAAGCAAGAACATGACACTTAAGTTCGTAAATAAAGCGGGAGTACGTAAAAAAAAAAGTAAGCTTGAAAGTGTTATCATAGTTATTGTGAGCGATATTGGAGGAAGCTTAGGAAGCACCATAAGAACCTGCATCGGTTGCGCAGGCTACAGATGTGACCCAGCTGACTAGTAGTCACGGCAGTAAGAGCTCAAAAAGGACACAATTGTGTAATGCTACAGCTGCGACATAATTCCCGACGAAACATCGATGGTCGAAAGTGGCAAGATATGCAGGTCTGAAGTGTTCGTGAATTCTTTATATTCGCGTGTTCATATAAGTTGCTTTTTGATTAGCTTCCGACATCGCGAAATTTCGCGACATTGAAAATTTTCACCTGTGTCAGCACCAAACTAAAGTGAGATGAAAAAAATGGCTAGGGTAATGTTAAGGCATGTGGGTCTTGCCTCATTATGTTATGTGGCAAGAAATCTTGACTCAGTAGTAGTATGGGCAACGTACCGGCCAACCAGCAACAAAAACCATGTGTATAAGTTTGGTTGTTTGCAATGAGACAGCAGGCATATGTTTCTGTTTATGAACTTATCACTCAGTTCACTCAAGGCCTAGCGTACATGCGTGTTTTTCTACAGGCTAGCTTCGACGGCGGTGCGTGCCTTGGCATATTAAGCATGCTGCGCAGCGCCGAAGGGCGGTCGCCAAAACAATGAAGGCGAGGAGGAGGGAGGAGACAGCTGGCGATACGGTCGGTGGCTACGAGTCCCAGAAAAAAAGTGAACACTGCCTCGTGCGTAAAAGGCACCGAGAAAAAAAGAACACTAATCTGTGCAGAGTTGCGACGTCGTAGTAACACGATTAGGTGCGCTGGCCTGATCAGATTAAAAATGAGCCAAAGAGCCAGTTATCTACTGAAGTGGAGCATTTAGGGCAGCATAAAACAGTCGTGCTTCAATGTTGCCATCAGAATGTTATAAAACGGAATAGATATGTAGGGTTTAACGTCCCAAAACCCCCATTTGATTATGAGAGACACTGAGGGCTTCGAAAATTTCGACCACCTGGAGTTATTTAACGTGCACCGAAATCTAAGCAGAATTGTTACGTACAATCCAAATGGTGTACGAATAACTGTTTATTGGGGCGAACTTGTGCCCGAAAAGTAGCGGCGTCTGTAACAGGCGATCAGCAAAAAGGGATCAATCTCCGAGAGAGAAAAACCCTCGAGTGGTGGTCCACTTCTTCTTCATCAAAATCCCGTGCTGAGGAAGCGCGCGCCGTCACGGCCTTTTCTTGTTTGATCATAAAGCCGCTGATCTCTTGGGGGGGCGCATGAACTAGCGCGCGTAGTTTGAATACTGCGTTCACCTTGCGTCAATATAAATTGGGGTGGTGTGGCAGCATTAAAAAAAAAAACAGAAGTGCTTCCTTCATTATATTTGTTTTTATAAGTCGTTCTGACTCTCTCTCTCTCTCTTTTAGCATAGAAAGTGTTCTTGGTTGAGGCCTTCATATCCGCATATCTTCCTATATCGTAGTTTGATTTACTCACAGAAAGTGGGCCAATTCCACTATGGTTGTGCGCCAATTTTTCCACCACTTGCCACTACTCACTAATTCCACAACTCACCACTACACCCACTGTTGCTCCCGCCGCTTGTCCCTCTTCATTCAATTTCTTCACGCAAATTTATTCACAATTTATTCAGTCACGTCGGTCAACCCTGTTGCACACTACCAGCTTTTTTTTCTGTTTCGTAAGTGTCCGCTAAGCGTAGCTGTTTGCCTACATTACTTTTAACTTGCCTAAATTGAAAGCGTATAAGTTAGCTTATTGGTGATAACATAGTAAATTGAATGAGTTGGGATATGTTCATGATGGTCAGTTCAATCAAGACACAAAACTGGAACGACACAGGCGCTAGGCAATTTGCCTGCTTCGGAGGCAGTTGAGCAGGATAAATACGGAAAGGCAGCGCTAGTAAAAAAAATACAAAAGGAACGAGACGAAAATAGGTCGGCGCTTGTCCTGTACACTGGCTTCTTTGTATTCGTTCTAGCGCGGACTTTCCATGATTACAAAGCCAAACAAGCTTGGCCAGCTGTGTTATTCTGGGACAAGAAAGTTAGTGCCCGGCTTAGATTGAATCCTACCACCGAAAGCGAAAAATGCGAAAACAAAACACGAAGGGAAATGGACCTTATGTGTTATAGAACAAAACTCATAGACTTACCGTTTTTGCAGTATCGCCTTTTTTTGTTGACGAGACTCATAATTGCAGAATCATGGATGCCGTAGTGGGCGAGCGTGTTCAGTTTCTGGCATCCGCTAACCGTCTTCGTGGTGAGGTCCTCGTCTTGCAGAATAAGGTGACCGCCTCTTCCGTGCCGCCATTCTGCGACCAAAAACGCGACTCAGTCGATGGTCCCAGATGTTATCACGCAAACACACTTTACATCGGCGTGACTATATTTACCGCTGGCATGAAACATGGTCGCTGGCAGTCTGATGATGTTGTCTGACGTTCCGAAACCGCATACGGTTTCCGGATATTTGCAGTTCCGAAACGTCCAATAATTTCATCAGTAATTGGACTTAATCTCATTTAATCCTTTACCAGACGAACATTTGTAGGACTCCTGACTACAAAATTACCACTGTACGAATATTCACGTTCTTGCATAAAATGTCGTCCTTGTACCAAAGAAGGCAAAAGTAATTTTTTAGTCATGCCTTAGCCCATATAATAATGGCAATATTATACAACATTTATTAGCTGTGAAATTGGTATTAAACGTCTTCGTTTAACTGCAGTATATTCGGCGCATTTTTTTCCCACATATAGGGTAGAAATATTCCAGCGGTTTGAAAAGAAAATGAAAAAAAAAAACGCCACGCCTTTGTGGAATGCGCAACACTGTCACAATGAAAGCTGGACGAGCAGCCTTTCAAATACAAAGCATTTTTTTTTTGCGGGTGGCAAGCACTTTTGGCGTCATTCTGCGTACCTGTCTATCTAGCCGCTTACGTCTGGGTGCTCTCGTGATCACCCCCTTAACTTGGCGTGAGCTAAAATTAGTATGGGAGTGTAAGATGGTTTGACGAATATGACGCGCTGTCAAAAACATGAATAATGGCACAACAACGTCACGTACGTCGTCAAACACTTCCCGCGAAACAGAGGCACATACCCAGGGGCGAGTATGTGCCGCTGGTATGCGCATATGTGTCATAGGTGATTGACACTTAGTATCTACCCAGCAACGACGAGAACGCACATGGGTAATTTTAATGCATAAGCGTTAAGATAAACGTAAACCTGCCATCGGCTGCGTTGACAGGACGAATGCAAAGAATAAATGTCAGGGTCCCAGCTTGAATCGAAAACCTTAGAGTTCTGCATGGCATTTAAGGATTCTACAAACAGCCACGTCCAGTCTCAGAACTACTTTCCAAATAGACCCTAATATTTGTGAAACGTACTGTCTTTTGACAAAATCTCTTTGTAGGACCTGTTATGTACAAAAAAGAAGTGTCATTCGCTCACCGAGGTCAATCTCTGATATCAGCGGCCTCATTGAGCAAGGTGTATTCTTGTAGAGGGCGTCCAATACTTTGGCTTTTACTTGGCTGATTGCGTCGCAGTCGTTGACGCGACAGAAGACTTTTTCGTCCTGATCTTCTTGAACAATCTGAATGACCTGAATGAGGACATTGAAGCTTTAGAAATGTTCAAAAAGACAATGTCAACTTTCTGAAACGCTATAATGTATTCAGTAAAATATTGATTGAATGCAGTTGTACAAAAATCTGAAATATTATATCTCTAAATATCAAGGCCACATGTAACTTTAACAAATGTTGTAAATACATTTTTAGAAGCAGGATCTGTAATGAACTATCGGCTTAAAATGAAACCTGAACAGCAGCAAACATTCACAGAGTGTGCCCTGAGGTCCTTAACATAGGCCTTGAGTTACCCTGCAGTGCTTCAACGGCTGAAACCGTTGAAATCATCTGAGATAAACAATCAAGGCAAGTTATATTACCAACACAACGCGTATGCACCTCAGGCATTATGCCAGAACCCATCCCGCCACCTGGCGAATCTCCCTGCGGAAAGGCCCCGCACAACATAAGGCGCCACTGCCTGCAACCACCGCTCAATCTATTACCGCAGCGTGCGCTCCTGCGTGAAAGCCACTGCTTCCTCCTTGGGGCTTGAGCCGGCCATGGGTCCACTTGACGATTCCAGGAAAGCAGAGAAAAACAGACCTATCGACACATGCCCTAAAACAATTGAGTCCATTCCTATTGGACCAGAACTACAGTAACCACATGCACACTTACACGGATGGCTCGACTACGTCGTCCAGGTCTGGTGGAGAAGTGGTTATACTTTCACAAAGGCTAACTTGGTATTTTAAGACTTCACGTGCGACCACACCTACGGTGGCAGAAGTTACGGCTCTGCGTAGTGCACTGGTTTAAACTCATCGGTTTTGAAGAACTATCAAGTAAATGAGCTGTGTTTTCCGACTCAAAATCGGCGTTCCAGTGCATGCGGATAGTTATCCGACGCAGATGCCATGACCAGTTGACATATGAAACCGCGAAATTTCACCACTTCTTAATACAAAAAGGCCCTGAGATTGTTTTTAGTGGTTACCTGGGCATTTTGGTATCAGCGGAAATTATTTCGCATATCATGTTGTCCGCGCGTCACACCAGGAAGCAAACATCGTTCTAATCTCTCTTTTAAGAACAGACACTGCGAGGCAGATTCGTCTACTGGCCCGCTGTCCCACACTGACTGAGTAGAACACACCAAACATACGACAACCAGACTACACGAAGTTGACCGGTCCGTACAACTCCAGTCTTCATCCGGCCCATATCGACGTGAAGCTTCGCTTCTCTATCGCCTTTGGCTGGGAGCTGCTTTCACGAAAGCATATAACTCGTTAATTGAATGACTACCAGTGCGGCATGGAATGTTTGCGGCACCAACAAAAATATCGAACACCTGCCGTGTCACTGTCCTCGATTTGCCTCAGAGAGACAAGTAATCGCAAACGCATTACAGCGACTGGATGATCAGCAACTTTCTGTGCAGGTGCTATTACAGCACAGTCTACATCTTTTGATAGCCTTCAAGGCTGTGAAAGCCTCCCTGTGCATTTGGAGGACGACGGGTTTGTGTTAACGTGTATGATTTGCGATGGAGTTCTACACGCTGCAGTGAATTTAATGTATCTCTCTCTCCCTTGTTTCTTTTCTTTTACTCTCCCCTTCTCATATTTCTTGTCTCCTTCCCTAATACCCTTGTGTGTGGTAGCCAACCAAATATATTTCTGGTCAACCTCCCTGCCTTCTTCCTTTCTGTCTGCTTCCTTCCTTCTCTGGTCCTCCCCACTGACAGGGGCACGCATCCGGTTTACCACCACTGCGCATATATGCCCGCCTGTCAAAGGTGATAACAGGACGGCGCGCGCTATACCATTGCGAACGCTCGCGCTGTTCAGGTTTCATTCGAGCTAGGTCTAAAAACGTTTAATTTCTATGTCGCCGAATTCAAGATTTCAGTCTGTGTACAGCGCACGCCGTAAACCCCTGTAGTGTGCACCGACTTCGTCGGACTGCGCTACCGACAGGCACTGGCACAGAACAATTGTTTTAGACAAGAACACCTGTGCCTGTAACTATTTATTAACCTTCTGCAGACGTTGCTTTCATATGAGACATCATGGTGACTTTATTCACGAAACTTCAAACATAGTCGCTACGTGTATATTGACTAGTTATTTTCTACCTACATTTTCAGACGATACACGTTGTTTAGTCAGTTTTCCAGATAAGTAGTATGCCCCATTCTTATTATGTGACGGAATATGTTGCTAGAAAGGATAAAGCGAAAACATCGCTTTTATAAATTTTCTACCAGAACACAGAGAGAGCCGTGTCGTAAGTTCAACGCTGAAGTGTACTAAGAGATTCTCCCACTTCGGCAGCTCTTTCGTAATAGAAGTTGCAGAAATATTTAGGCTGAATCTATAATTTATAAAAGTACGATGCGCTCCTCACTTCCTGATGCTAAGAACATAAGAAAGTACGAATCGATGTGACGATTCCTAAGCAGCATCACCTTTGGTTTTTGTTCTTGCGCGTTTTTTTTGCTGGTTTATGATGATAATGATAAAAAACATTTAGTTCTTGAACCCATGTAACATGCTTTAATGGTTGGTAAATATAGTTACCGTACGTTGCTAATGCCTGTCTTGATCAATTACCGAACTCGTCAACCCTTGCCAAAGGCTTTAGAATGTGGCAACAGAACAAGACTGCCTGCTTGTGAAAAGCGCTCATTTCCACCATGGTATTGAGAAAGTATCGATCATAATGTAACATTGGGAAGCCACACAAGAAGAACGAAGGATATATAGATAGTGTCATTATGACAGCCTTTGAATCAACGCAAGCTTTCTGGCAGTCTGTGAACTAACAATTTCGCGCAGTTGAATGAATCCAGAGTTTCAGCACAACGTTCAGTGTTTCATTCGGTTCTAGTTGCTTTTTCTAGACGGCACAGGTGATCATAAAACTACATAAAAATTATTTATTTTACCCCGAAAGAGGGGATAAGTTACTGTAGTAGTTTAAAAAAATCACCCCTACTTTTCGGCTGTAATATTTGGTTTTTAAATGCCAACTAGTTTTATATATATTGACCAAAGATTAAAAGGTTTTGTTGAATTTAGCGATTACAATAAGTTACGTATTCAGTGCGTACAATTTCACGCAATTGCAACAATATACGGCATTTGTAGAGTGTCTTGCTTAAAACTGTCTGGTTAGTGTCTGTCTAGTTTTTTTTTTTCAAAAAGGGCTCAATTTGGTTCAGGTGATTGGAACTTCAATTTCAGTCAGTTTAAGCCTGCGATACTGCTGTCGGCGAGAGGGGGCACCTTTTTTATGTCTATTACAATTTTCGGTCCCGTTAGTGTTGTTGAAATATCGTCGCTGCAGAACTCACCACGGTGGAGTACTCGATCTGCTCCCGCAGCAGTCTCTCTTCGGAGAGTGAATAGCGAGCGTCGTGCGTCACAGCGTCCACCGGGCCCTTCTCAACTTGGTGTTTTATGGCGCTGAACAGAAGGAAGAGAGACCTTCCTGCATGGTCCTAGAAGAAGCACACATGCACTGTCAGTTGGCTGCGCGACATCGAATTTTCTATTTTGATCGACAAGTAATTACTTCATATTTATTTATTCAGTAGCAATTGAAAGAACTTCTTCAAAAATTTGCTCAATTTAGTTGTCCTAACTTGAAATGTGCAATTGCTCATGGCCAAAGAGTACAAGTTGTAAAACAAACATCTTTATTAATATACGTTCAAATGCACGTGGACCACCACCGCCTGCTTCATTCATAGAAAGTAATAGTACTTGTAAATAGACAGGTTTGTATTTTTCCACTTTAACAGCCCGTATGTCGGTTATTGTTAAATGTGCAAATATAAAAAAAATGCGGCTATGGACAACCCCTACGGAGATCTAGCATGCACTACCAACCATTTCATTAAACCAAGACGAAGCATAGTAAAGCACGCACCCAAAAACTTGCGTGTATTGTCTGCTGTTTTCTGACATGCGTATTCAACAATAATTCACTAGAATGAGCCAACTCGTCATTCAGTATAATCTCTGTAGTGTATATCTTGAAGGTGCATTAAACATTAAGACACGCAATAAATCCTTCTACATCACTCTCTACTTGACGAGATAAATTATATTATGGCTGCAGCGTGTGTTTCCCTTGAAATCGTACATGGACAAAGATGTGAGCGGTTGCATAAACATTTAAAGGCAATGTTGTACTTAAAGGCAAGCACAGAGAAATCACTTTTTTTTTAGTTTTCGTAATTAAAATAATTGATAATGACCGGTGTAATAAACATGGCTGCCAGCATTTTACATTTCAGTATCTCCCCACACACATACACACCTTCATAATCATCATTCGATATATGTTTATTTACGTGGTGCTATTGCACTCTCATACCTTTATGTAACCATACATGCACAGCGCCATCCAGTTTGTTAGCATCTTTTCAACGACAGATTCGGTCCTGAAAGAACAAACAAAAGAAAACACCATTAGACATGCTTTATACAACAAACTGCTCGGCGCATGGTTTCTATGGTGTGATTTGCGCTGCAGTTTTTTTTTACCACTCGTTATATTCTTTGTATCGGCTCAAGTTCTCAGCTAAACAATTCCGTTCTTTCAGCCGTGCGAACTTTCTTGCGCCGCCCCAACGCAGGTTAGATTGCATAGCCGTAAATTAGTTCACTCACCTTCTGAGCATAAGCTGAGGATGTTTCGTGCCAACATACTTTTCCACGAGCCGGGTAAGAAGCTCTCTCAGTATGCTGCAAAAAGAATAGAGGAACACAACCATTTATTCAGTGTTATACGGCGTAATTATCAACCTGCTAGCCAATGAAATAAACCCATTATAGACCACTGATCTGTTCGTAATAAAAATGTGCGGGCCTTAACAATTGAATTTACTCACTCTGTGGCATATTCCATTTTGTCAAGTAATATTATCATGAGAAGGGACGCTACGTTCACCCTGGAATTGACAGGAAGAGACAGACACTTCGTTCAGAAAAAAAGTTCAGTGCGTGCGCTGCAAAAGATCATGCTCTGAAAAAAATCTTTCAGAACATGCACACACAAGTACACTTACTTGTCTCTTATGCTGAATGTATTCTGGTTTTCTAGGGTATCGATGAACGTCAGTAGGAAATTCTTGTTGTTGATCAGCATCTCGAAATTCGTCATCGCGACCTCATAGTTGTTGTAAGGACCATTGATTTGCTGTGAGAAAAAAATGATTATAGTAAAAAGGTAGCAGCAATATTGTTCACAAACACGCATATCGCCCGAGTATGGTGCGTTTCAAGTCTTATCTCTGCAACATGTGTCAGTAATGGCGCACTAAACTTTAAACTCGTCTTGTACAATTAAATCTTGGCTAACATGTAGCGGCCAATGTTAGTGTCTATTAGTTATGCACAAGCAAAATAAAAAATAATCAGGCGTTTCAGAAACGAATGATAGAAGGCAATAAAAATATATTGTTGCCTATTTCAGGAGGCAATAAAAATATATCTAAAGTGTTTTTTCTTTTCCCATTTGTCATATTTAAAAAATATTAGCGAGAAAACAGAGACATAAGGTAATGAAAATACTATTTCTTGAATTGAAGTTTCATATTACAGTTCTAAATTGATGTCGTAACTTCCTGTCGCACTCACTTTGACTTCCTGCAAAATAGGACTGTTTGGTACACCTGGGAAGAACACTTTCATAATGTACGTTTTGTGGTCCAAGGTTGGTATCCCCGTCGCCTGAATGTCGTTGTTGAGGTCCGTCATGTCAGTCTGTAGTTCCGCAAACGCTGCGCAAAATACAAACGCAACAAGAAACTTGTTAGAGCATACCTTACATGTCCTACGCATGCGCTGTTTTGTCGCGTGTGCTGCAAGGGCCAACACCAAAACTGAACAAAATCCGAATATCGCGTCTGCATCTATTTCTTCTGTATTTGTCCTGAAGCGCTCTGTAGACTTATATCAAGGAGGCCCATTTGGAAACGAAGGTGTTTATGGCTTTCGCAGCTATAACTTGGGCTGAAAGTCCATTATTTTCATTAACTGGTAATTGAGGTAGCAGCGACCAGTGAAGGTGATTTGCCAGCAAGCCTTCAACAACGTGAATTGACAAAACTTTGCACTCTTACATATGCATGGACGCAGCTTATCGACAATCCCACGCGACGATGACATAAACAAGAACACACTAAACACTGGTTCTCGTCATATTGTAGGATGTTTGGCGCAACCTTGGCACTCGCAAACACTCACACAAACACTCACACATCCACCCTAGTAATTCACACAGCACATATTTAACTAGTCCAACAACAAGTTTTATTGAGCTACAGCACTGGTGCTCGATACACGCGTCTCCAAAGCGTTGTCAGTTCAGAAGTGACACGGCACGGCATGCGCTTCTGAGCTCTAGATACCGTGCAATTGAGTTTTCCAATCTGATTGCAGCGCCAGAAAACAAAGCCTAGCGGATGCAAACAGCAAGATTGAGATGGTGTCCGTGAAAATGGAATGCGACGCGCGCATCCCCCGTCCTGCACGAGTGGGCAGATTGTGGCCGTGGGCCGGGCTACACGGGCGATGCGTGCGCGCGTCTGTTTTTTGCCTGCCCCACACGGCCAATGCCAGCAAACTTGGGACGGGACAGGGCGAGAAACGCCGCTCGCCCTGGTCAGTGTGCGGTGCCGATAGGATAGGTTACCCCTACACACTACTACACTGCACGCCCCACCACGGTGGTCTAGTGGCTAAGGTACTCGGCTTCTGACCCACCGGTCACGGGATTGAATCCCCACTCTAGCTGGCCTCCGTTTCGCTCCACCAAGGCAGGACTTTCACCCGTTGACATCGTTGCAGTGTTTACTGCAGCAGTTTTATTAGTCGGTGCTATAGCGCCCAAAGTTGGGCGATGAAACACCATCGGTGCATTTGGAAGCTGCACGACTCCGACAAAGAGCTCTCAAACGCTAACACGAAGTGAAAGACAAAGAACGTAACTGCGTCGGCGACTCCTTGATGCTACCGCGAACAAGGTTCGGCGCTGCTTTAACCATGACCTCCAAGACTGCGTGCCAGCGCCCAATCTCAGACGCCATACTTTATCTGCATCGTCGGCGAATCGTTTCCTGTCGGTGCTAGTAGGTGTCATGTCACTACTGCTCACGGAGGGTGGCACTGACCCACTTCGCCAACAGTGAGCACCGAGAGAAAGAGATAATGTGCCAGAGATATAGGGCGCGTTCGTTCCGAGCCTTGAAACTTCCACGATAGCTCAGTCGACGGAGCACCGGGGACCTTTCGTCGCGGGCCAAACAGTAAGAGGGTCAACGACCGACGGGGAACGCTTTCTAAATGAGCTTTCTCATTTGTTAGCATCAATTTACAAAGTCATATCTATGAAGAAAATACGTCACTGAAGTTTTGATGGGCCGCGGCAAAAAACTCTTTCGCGTTAAAAAGACACGGGGGCAGTAAACTTACGCCCCTGCTGGATGCCTTGTTGTGGCTAATAATAATAATAATAATAATAATAATAATAATAATAATAATAATAATAATAATAATAATAATAATAATAATAATAATAATAATAATAATAATAATAATAATGATAATAATATATCAACTATTACTATAATATAAACAACAATCAAACCTAGTACCCAAATCAGTCATTGAAATACACCGTGAAACTTTACAACAGTGAATTCACGTCATTGTCATGTGTTGCCGTAGTTTCATTTGTGCACAATGTATGTAAACTGCGACTTGTGGTGCGGAAGACATCCTACCTTGTTTACACTCGGACCGTACGCTGTTTTCTAGTGTGTCCATTTGTAGTTGGATCCTCTTGTACTCCCTCTCGGCCTGTGAGTTTTTGTGCTTCAGTATGGCCAGTGTCACGAGGCTTAGGAGCATCAGCACTGTTCCACCGGCTGCGATGGCTCCAACAGTCTCCGGCGGGAACTCGTAGATTTTAGCCACTTCGTAGCGCAAGTAGCCGACTTCATAGCGAAGGTTGTTTCCCACTCGTACCTAAAGTAAAGAAGAAATCGCAAGCTTGCGTTTAGGCCGCTGTCTTTCATTTCACTTCATTTATTGCATCCTTAAAAGCCCGAGGGCATTACATAAGGGGGGGGGCAAAAAATACGCTGTGAGTGATTATAATTCAAGTTGAACAAATTATTATAAACAGTACAGTTCTAATATGGTAGTCTGGTCAAAAATGACAACAAAAATGAATCAAATAACACACAAAAGAAACGCTTTGGCTGGGAATTAGAGTACAAACAACTAGGCACAAGCAAATTATACATACAATACGTTGGTAGAATATATTTACAGCCACGAGTTAATGGGTGGAATCAAAGTGCAGCCTGTATACTTTCATCTATTCAGAATAAAACCTTAAGCATGCAATTTAATTTGAAAAAAAAAATTAGGCATCCTTGCCCCGGTGGGGCTGAGCCTGAAGGAAGTTTTGGAGCTAGGCAGAATTGTTTGTTTCTCTTTCTTTTCTCCTTTCTTGTTCTCTTTTCTAGTTTTCCTTTCTTTGTTCTCTTTATTTCTGTTTATTTCTATTTTTCTCGTATTTTGTCTCCTTCTGATCCTTGCTTGCTAAATCTTTTTTCAAGTTTTATACGTGACTTTGCTGCGTTACACCATGGAACGTCGGCAGCTTACGATGACAGTATACGATATCATACGACGGGATACTACAGCCCGGCACCCTAAAGTGTTTTGTACCTTGTGGAGTATGCACTGGAGGAGGCTCAGCAAGCACGAAATGAGGCATGGCGAGGCAAAACAATTGGGGAACTGCATCGAAGAATTGAACGCGATAGGGATACCCTGTCCCTAGACCGTTTCAACCACTAAGTGCATGGTTTTTGTTGTATGATGTTGCTAGAGAAAGTTAAATTGTGGAGTACTACAATGTAATCAAGAAAGGTTAAATGTGTCTTGTGTTCCTCAAGCTTTCGCATATGACTGCATTCTGAGTAATCGGTAGTGTTCTTTAAACCATGAGCCATTATGTGCGTGAAATGGTTTGGAACTGGTTATGTGCCCCGACTACGTGGTCTTAATTAAGGAACACGCACAGTAACGTATGTGCCTCCCTAATGTGTGGCCGGCTTCATACCACAAATTTGTTAAGATAATCACACGTTCTGACGCCCAATGGCAACGTAAGATGCTACCAAGCAATATTACTGCGATGTGTCATGCTGTAATGTGCAGCCTGTATACAGAACGCATGTGTTGGTGAAGCATACTAGTTCACTGAATTTCCAAGCAGGGGATGTTGTATTCAGTATACTTTCATGCACAGGCATGGATGCATAGTAGAACACCTGTTTGCCGCGCACACAGCTTGGCTTTAGTCCTCAACCATACCCTAAAATTTTCACTACTTATTTTAATTGCATTTTCTCGATTTTTTTCGCACACGCACAAGATAATTTTTCACGCACAATCAATGACGCCGACCCCAGAATTTCTGCGGAATGAGCTATTTAACGTTATCGCGTTAATATTTAATTGAATTCTGACGGAACGTTACTATCCATCAGCGCTGAGACTGTTTTCTGAGCGTCCATGCATCTATTCCGAGCCTACACTACTAGTCTACCTTTATTACTTTAGCGGTCCTAAAGTACAACGATAACAACAGCCAGCAAGCTAGGTTAAACATGTAGACCCCAACGTGTATCACGAGAATGATTTCCTATATAAAAAAAAACTTTTTGGGCAAATTGGCCAGTATTGTTCGACTTAACACACATGCATGTGGTGCGATGGATACACAGTAGAAATACAGGCACTTCATTGGCTTTAAGTCCTACCCTTTTCACAACGGAAATTTCGCGCCAGAAACAAGTATGTGCAGCACATGTCAATGTTTTGGCACATGACAAAGTTGAACGTAAATAAAGAAATTCGCAGATCATGCTCGAAGAATGTGTACTTCCTAAAGAAAATGATATCGCTTTTTCGCAGCTCAGTTTCAGCAAAAATAAAAACTGCTATATGGTGAAGAAGGAAAAAAATTACAGTATGAGCGCTAGAAAACCCCAGGTGGTCTAAATTTTCGGAGCCCTTCACTATGGTGTCTCTGATAATCATATCGTTGTTTCGAGACGTTGGACCTATCACTTTGCTATTATTATAATATTATTAAAATATTTTTACACCATCTTTATATCATCATCATCATCATCATAATCATTATTATTATTATTATTATTATTATTATTATTATTATTATTATTATTATTATTATTATTATTATTATTATTATTATTATTATTATTATTAAGAATTTGTAGACAGCTCAAACGTACCACAACAACGGGCAAGTCTATCTCTGTCCGGTGGCCGATTTCATCGGTGCTTGGTGGCTGAACATCCGGGGGAACGCAGACCAGCTGACTCATGCTGAGTGATGTTAGGTTGCACGGTCGTGTGCCAATGGTAACATTGATTTCAGGCTCTGTAGTGGCCAAGCGAAGCATTTCGCCCTAGAAAAAAAAAAGAAAAACGCAGACACATTTTGTTGCTGTTCAGTTTAGAAATGAACTTAGCGTCATCTCAATGGTTTGGTCAAATGAAACGAGTGAAGAAATTGTGAACAGTCACATTTCGTTGGCTCGTTCTGTCACTTCTTTCTCATAGATTGTTGTTGCTTTGAACTACGACACGTATGAAAAAGCCTCAGATACCATGACTTTTGTAAATGAGCTTCAGTAAGCGAGGTTCGAAAAGAAATTTTCTCTAATAGGTGACCGTATCTACTTGAGAAAATAACGCTCATACGGATGTGCTGACGCAAGTGCCGACCGAGATAAGCAGGTTTATTGCGGATACAAAAACTGCCATACCGCGGTCTACTTAATACCGCGAAATAATGTCTGAAATTCACGTCTGTTTTAGCACTTTTTTGACAAGTGTGAGGGATATCTCACTTATATAATTCGCTTAGACCCTGTCGAGTAGGCATTATCAACTGAAGTGTTCTAAATAATCCAAGCGTCATCTAGATGCCGACTGAAGCCCGTAGCCAAAGGGGAGTCCTAGCGCCTCCTCTACCCACGCGCCAAAACTTTGATGGAGGCGTACTTCACCTTAAACGAATAATGAAAATCCGCGTTTTTCAGAAATTGTCAAGGCCTTCATCAAGTGCTTCACCGAAGAAAATTCATGGCTACAGATTTGTTACAAATCTCATAAAGTGTGCGTGGCAACACCAAGGAGGAAGTTCTACTGCTAATAAACATTACTTCTTTCTGGGTGCACTTCCAACGCTACCGAGAACTGTAGCTTTCAGAAATGTTCATATTGGTCGAAGGGTTCTCAATAAGTGATGGTAGGTGTGCCCGTGCTAACACGTTATATTTTCCCCTGCCTAATTTTAAGGGCTGATCAGTCGCTTTTAGTAAGACTAATTGGTCTTCTTCGAAGAATTTTACCGTTGAAGATATATGTAATCATGGTCGATTTCTGGGCCTTTGTTATTCATAATATATGAAACGACCTGTTTGGTATTCCTACTCCCCGAAGTTGGTAATGTGCGCCAAGAAAATGAATACTTTTTTTCACCACTCGTCTTCAGAAAGTGAGATATAGCTGGATAGTCGGTTTCATGCAGATATATTAGTCTTAAATATAAAAAAATGTAATTACGTCCTGTTTCGGCCTTCTGCTTTTATTACCAGAACCTTTCGTAATACATTTTGACTGCACATTTCACATCACTGTGATGTGATGTGAAATGTGCAGTACAACTACTGTGTTTTGCCCGCCTTAGCGCGAGGAGATTTAAGGCCCTTATACAGCCGCTCAACATATTTACTGTTCCCAGCTCCTGTTGTATTACCTGGCGCTCTTTGGGCATCGATTGGCCCTAGCACCATTAAGCACCACACATCATCATTGTTTCAGCCCTCTAGCAAACCTTGTAACATTGACTTTACGTCAACATTTCAGGACAACATCTTAAAACGCATGCTGTCAAGAATTCTTATGTGTAGTTTGTAGAAAGGATGTCATGCAATACACACATCAACAACTTTTCCTCAGTGCTAAGCAGAGCACTTTCTTCAACTTTCAGAAAGATTTTCCTAATCCGCAAAGGCACTTTTCTGTAATGCATATTCGCCATACTAATGGTAGCACTGGTGGTGCTTTACGTGAAAACGATGTCCTAGTTGTCTGTGCAGGGCCTTGTCTATTATCCGTGTCCATATCAAGGCAGCCTGGTCAGCATACTCCACGTCATAGCACAAGCAAACTGTGCACGAATACACTGATTTTAGTAAGAGGGTAGCTGCCATTACCAGGACAAACTGCACAGCAGAGAAGCGCACTTGGTGATTAGGAAAATTTCCTAATAATAAGGCAATATATAACGCCCATTTATCTTATTCTGCACTGGCTTCAGGCACGACAACGACTACGAATCACATCAAACTGGTAATAATGCAAAAAAGTGCTTATGCTAAATGAGAAAAATTTTGATGAACCCAAAGACTCGCCAACAAATCCTTTATTTATGCAGCACAATTGGCCTAAATCGAGAAAATTATACGACTATTAACTTCTTCTGCACTCACAACAACATAATCTCCTAAACATGGCACATGAAACACGAGGGCGATATCCTCTACCCTATAATCAGATCCCCGTGCCACGAACCACGGAAGGTCGACCTCCGCTTATCAGATACCCATAATAGCAAATTTTCCTTCGAAATCCACTTTGATGTACCGCATTATAAAGTAAAAACAAATTGAGCGTTTCGTAGAGCCGTAATAACATGCTCATTTACGCCACTACAACATTGTTTTTGCGTCGTTATACTTTGTTTGTTTGCTATGCAGAGTGATGTTTGCATCATCGAATGTGCACTTTGTTTTATACAGGCTTATTGTACTTTTGTGTGTATCTTAATGTAATGCGCACCTTGCTGTATTTGTGCATTTTTCGGTTATCGTTCACATGTTTTTTTAAGTTATGTACTTCAGCAATGTTATTTATAATGAATAAGTCACATGGCTTTTTTGTGACCATTTTATCACTGCTGCTTGTAAGGTCCCCCAGCTCCCTTCAAAGTGTATTGAACAGCTTTTTGGCTGGCAGAACCCCCATTTTTGTGCGTCGGAAACATATTTCAAAATTGGAAGGAAATATCTGTGAAATATACATAACTGCGCTATTCCACGAACCTCAATGACGAGTGGCTCTCCCTTGTAAAGTTTTACACCGTCGTTGTCAAAGGGAAAGAAGCGAGGGTCAGAAACGTAGGTCAGGTCGGAGGCCACATCGGGGTAGAATTTGTTCAATTCCTGCACTGATCGAACATCGTCCATTATGAAGCCAATGCGAAGCCTCACAGCATCCAGCTCTTCGACTTCGGATCCAGTCTCAGAGAATACTTTCGTCTTCACTGCAGTGTTCCTCTGGTGCTGCCCTCTGGCCACGGCGTGCGCAACCACGTCGGCACTGTCTCCTTGTCCTTCGTCGTCATCGAAGCTGCTGTCCCGCCCCGGGTTCCTCACAAGCACCGCCGGAGAAGGGCAGACCATGACGGAGGCGTTCAACACGTGGCATGACTGCGGCAATCAGGAGAAGTGGTTTAAAGATAGCACGAATTCACAGTGGTGCATAATCGAGGCAGCTGGTAACCTAATGTATGTAAATTAATAAATTATTGTGCACAAGTGTACCCCAAATGGACACAGAATGGAGTTTCGGGTTACTCAATCCAGCTGCACAGGTGATAGGTTCTCCACTTACTGCACTTTGTTATAATGAATTTTGATGTGACCACTTATCACATGTCATCTTTGTCAACATTTGCTTCACGATGAAGCACAATAGCTAGGTTGGCGCACAACAATAACCAATGTGAATCATTCAATTAATCAATTATTCAATCAAAGAACTTTATTTTTACCAAAAAACAAACATTTACGGTGAGAAAGATCTTCCATGCGTCGCAATAATCCGTTCTACAAAAAATAGTAACGCATAGACTCACTTGCAATGCCATGAATTTGTGTTTCAAGAACTACGTTTTTGTCGTCCACCTTTTCTCGGCCTACGTTTTTCGCGTCCTAAAATGTATGGTCGCTAGTACCTGAAAAAGCTAAGGTATAAAAACTAGTACTTGTTGATTTGATCAAGGAGTTCTTTTTCCAGTCTGAACACAGTTTATGGATACGATCAAGTAGTTTATGAGAGCAGTTCGTGAGAGCAATTTTCTTAAGAGTAGTTGGTCCGTGCAGTTCGCGCAGCTCTTGTTTCAGGAGGCACACGCCCGTAAGTTAACGTGCACTCTTATCGGGTTCAACACATACTTGAAGTAAAGACAAACATGAAGGTTGGTCTCTTCAACAAAAGGCATATTTCAGGGTGCGAGTGCACTTCGGCGTGCACAAGACTAACAACGTAACCACGCGTAATCAAAGAGAGCTCGAGATTCAGCTCACCGTTTCGTTTACTTGGCGAAACCTGTTGAACACCGCCATACGTGGTTGCTGGATAGACGTCAGGTTGGTTCCGTAAATATGGATGTGTCTGCCGCCACTGTAAAGTGAGTGTCATGAAAAAAATTTTCAGTAATTTACGCCACGCTCTATTGGCATGTTTGAAACGTCCCTGCGGTTTGAGACTAAACAAATATTTTGTTATTTTTTATCTACATTATATTAGTTCCAAGAAAACATATGTTTACGTGAAATAACAAATGAACAAATGTTTATTGTTCTACTATTTTCGGCCGAAAGCTTTGGAAAGCGATGTATATGGTTATTCATCACAATGCTGATTTGACTACGATCGCATGCAATGTAGCGGAACCATCCGTTTCAACAGTGGATTGATTTAAGCCGGCCGCAATTTGTCCAAATCGAAAAAAAAAGAATTGGAGGAGTATGCGCCACAGGAACTTGGCAAGCCTCGCCACCAAGCAGAGCAGATGCGAGCGTTAGACGAAACAAACTCGTGAACGAGAGAGAGAGAGATAACGACAAAGAGAGAAATGAACATATGTAAAGGAAATAAATACATAAAGATCAAAAGACAGAGAAAGACTTAGAGAGAGGCAAAGCTATATAAAGAGACACATGAAAGAGAGGGAAAAAGCGGAGAGCAAGACAGACTAAGAAAGAAAGAGGAAGCTGTGAATAGAGTGGTAGAGAAAGAAAAAGAGATACAACAAACACAGAGAAAGAAAGAGAAAGAAATGAAGGCGGACAAAGAGGGCCGCCTATCTCCACTCTTGGTTCAGACTTGGCACCGCAATTGCGAAGCTGTCTTAATTTTTTGCGAGACATTATTATTTATCCGCGTAAGTTAATTCACACTGCGCACCTGAGGAAGCTTTTGAGTGGTTGAATCCTGTGCAAGGAAGGGTCCTCGGTGTAAAAGAAAGGGTTGCTCAGGGTCAGGTTGGCACCGTCAATGCGTAGGATCAGCTGCGAAACTTGGTACGACGGATACGGAGACCTGGACGTCCGGCAGCTGATTTGGCTGCTACTTGCCAGAGACCTGCGAGCGTTGCACATGGTATAAGCACGACTTGCTCTGTCGACGATGTGTCAACATGTGCTAAGACTGTTCTGTTCTGTTCTGTTTTCACTGTTTTGCTGTGGAGAGGTTGAGGTGCCTATTGCCTCGGCTACTCCATATCACAAAGTTCTGCAGCGAAAAATAAAATAATAATACAGAACGGTACCCAAAAATTAACAATACGGAAAAGAAAAAAAAGCATAATAGCACACTGAAACCAGTTCAAATATTATGCCAATACACTGTTTTCTTCGCGCAGTTCACACAGTCATAAACTATTTACACGCACAACTTACTATTTTACTGTCAGTATATACATGATCACATTTTATATATACCCATCTCTGGCTGTCTGTCATAGGCGCTTGTCCAGTCCGGTCTCCACTAAAAAGTCTGTCAGGAAGATTATTGCCTTTTTCTGGAGATGCATCTCAGGCAATGGTCCAAGTAGTTTCTTCATTGTGAGGGGCCGTCTGTCCAAACTTGCTAATTTATTCTTTAATTTTTCTCTTTCATACGCGTATTTAACGCACTCTAAAAGAATATGGCGAACATTTTCTTCGGCATGACCACAATGGCATTCCGGTGAGTTGAATCGATGTATCTTGTGCAGGAAGCTGTTTGTGTATGCTACTTCCAATCTAAGTCGGTGTGCTAAGACTGAAAATGACGCTAATTTTATCGACTTATATTTAACGTGCACTCTTAGCATGAATGCGGGAGTGTGCACCACATTGTGGTGGCAAGGACGCATTAACACAATGCTTGGCGGCTCCTGCACAGCGTGCTAGCGGCGAGCTTATGGCACCATCGCGTGCACCGCGTCATCTCAGCTAACTCGCACCAAAGGCGTTCACCGTCGACACACTGATAAAATAAACACGCTGCGAACAAACCGCATACACGCAGGGCTTCGTGTTTGTATAGGTGTATACGAGTCGCTGATATCGTGCGCTGCTTTGTTCACGCTTGCCACTGTATACACACGAGTAGCAAAAAAAGTTGCGCTTTTAAACCTTTATGACTCAATACATAAACATGACGAATGATGGCTTGCAAGCAGCTACGAAGATTGGTAAAATGAAGGCAGGTCACATGCGCACATTATAAAACGCCGCATGAGGGTGTCATGCTTGATAACGCCGAGCACATCGCTCAAAGCTGCTTCCACTCATATGCGTTCGAGTGCTCCCTTGCACTTGCTCTCGAATGACATTTTCCCTGTCAACAACAACTACAATAATAATAATAATAATAATAATAATAATAATAATAATAATAATAACAAGTGGAGTCTAGCGTCCCAAAACCAGGATATGATTATGAAAGACGCTGTAGTGAAGGGCTCCAGAAATTTAAATTTCGACCAAGTGGTGTTCTTTAACGTGCGTTGACATTGTACGGTACGCGGACTTCTACCATTTCACCTACATCGAAATACGACCCGTGACCTTCGGTTCTGCAGCCGAACATTGCTCCACCGAGGCGGACGACACCAACCTAGCTATGACAGCTACTAGAAAGGAAATGAATTATAAAGCACGTATTTTACAAGACAAGCTGCACCTTAGACACTCCTTTAAAGAGCGCATGAGCCACTTTTCGGGTGACGGAACGTCGAGGATGCGGCGTCGTACTACTTGTTTGATAGCTCACCCATGTTTTCACACATCCGCAAGTGTGACTTGCCTTTTTAAATTGGTGCTACAATGTATTCACTTTCCTTTTTGTTTGTCTGACTTTATACGTAAAACAATCACGCGAAACAATAAAATTGCAAAGGGTGCGGTTTTTTTTCGAACTTCAACTCTTAGTCAGCAAAGTGCAGAACAATGTACTAGCCCCACCTGGTGGCGGATAAAGTAAGAATTAGAGTGCGCTGCCCCCGACCATGAACAAACGTGCAGGGGGACATTTCCGTTCACTGGGAAGCCGTAATCAAATCTTGGAGCGGTGCACCTTTGGATCAATGAAGTGTCCCTAGTGTCCTGCTCAATCTTAAGTCCCATAGTTTATATCTTTTTCTCGCAGTGCATTACTTCTTAGGGCAGCTTGCGCACAGTGAGCGAACGCTTTCATTGAGTCAGCTGTTGATTCTCGACGCTACGTGACTAGACTTCTCATCAAGCATGAGGCAAGAAACCTTTTAACGAAATTGGATGACGTCATCTTTTTGAATTCTTTTTTTTATCCAGCGACGTGCGTTTACTTCCGTCTTTATTTATAAGCAGAGTGACAGCGCGCAGAAGCAATAAAAACACTTATTTTGAAATCATTGGTACTTCATACTAAAGACGCTGTTGGTTAAGCACCGAAAGGTCTCACGGGTGGGTTGTGGGGCTGACTGGTAAAGCATCTTAAAGAGACTGAAAGGGTGAGGAACATGCCATGGCTTCTATGTGACCAAGAAATACGCTTCGTATTTTGTCTTGCAGCTGTCCTGTGTACGATAAATCTAGATCTGCGCTGAATTTTCCTCAACTTCATATTGAAAAATCGATGACCAGCTTAACGGTTCCGTCATGATAACTGTGCAAATCATTGTTCTGCCATGCATTGAAGCGGTAAAAAATATTTGGATCATCTTGAGAGTAAACTACGAAATTAGAAGTCCATGGACCAACAACCTTTTCAAGAGGTGCATGAAAAAGTAAGGCAATGAAGCGCTTACAAGTAATAGCCGTTTTCACCAGAAAAAAAAAAAACTCTGACCAGCGTTAGCGTAAGCACCGTGAAAAAAGAAAAGACGTGCCTTTGCTGAAACAGCAAATTAAGACAAATATGTCAGTGTGAATTACGTTCGACATACTTTTCCGTTCTGTGTTAATTGAGCGTATGCCAAATAGTTGTGTGATGAAACTGCGTTGACTCAGAATCACTACAAGGAAATGAGAAACGACAGCGAGTGCTGCTAAAGTACATTCAATATTTTGATTATGACATGTTACGAGTAAAAGCCATGGCATAACTATGAGACACTCGGTCGGGAAGGGTCCATTTCTAATTTTAACCACCAGGTGTTCTTTATTTTTTAACTTGCACATAAATCTAAGTGATGTTAGCATCTTGCATTCATCTCCCCTTGAAATGCAGCCGCTGTGTCCGGAAATTAAAATCGTGCTGTAGCTTCAAAATCGTGCTCCAGAACTTTAAGTTTGCACGTGATGTCATGGACGCACAACATGGCTTCAATATGGCAGTTTGGGTGGCATCAAGGCAGTGTAACCAAACATCGACTAGCCTAGTACAGTGTGATGACGCAGCAGCTGGAACATTACTGGGCCTGATTAAAGCGGCGAGTTGGGCTTGTTCGTTCATATATATTTACGGCACACAATACAGCGCAAGCACCCACAACGAAAGGAAGCAACGCAAACGACGACAACAACGTTTACTTTAAATAAAGATTTTGAAAGTTCACCTCTCGTCGTCGTAAATTTTTCGTCCCGCCGTGGTGGTCTAGTGGCTAAGGTACTCGGCTGCTGACTTGCCAGTTGCGGGTTCGTATTCCGGCTGCGGCGGCTGCATTTCCGATGGAGGCGGAAATGTTGTAGGCCCGTGTGCTCAGATTCGGGTGCACGTTAAAGAACCCCAGGTGGTCGAAATTTCCGGAGCCCTCCACTACGGCGTCTCTCATAATCAAATGGTGGTTTTGGGACGTTAAACCCCACATATCAATCGTCGTCGTAATTTGTGTTCCTTCCGTCCATTGTGTATTTTGTGCTGTACTTTCTACTAAGTTATTAGGGCTCTGTGGATGAAAACTAAAAAAACCAGCTTGAGATGTAGTGATAGCATTAAAGTGAGATCCCAAAGTTCACGTCACGCCATGTTGGCTCTGTAACATAGCCTTTCCAGTGACTTCAGTGCCAACCATCCATACTTGACGGAGAACAGCACGTGTAGATTAGCCAATCTTGTAACAGCCTTTTTATCGACGCAGAAAGCTCTGCGCAGATGCAGCCTGAAACCGGCAGCGTGATATATACAGGAAAGTTGCTAACTGGATGATGCCGGCCTCACAAAGCGCCGATTTTCGCAGCCGGTGCTATGATGCAATATAATGTGCAGTGTCATCTGGCGGCGTTCCCTTATCAACCGAAATACCGGAATACGTCACCGCTGTGAGAAAAGGAAGTGTAGTGCGCGACGGCTGCTGGTTGTGAGTGGCATATGTGCTCGCAACGTGAAATTGTCAAGGTGCTGTAGGTGGATGGAATTGAAGTATTATGTACGATTGAAACGGTTATCGTTGCTAGATTGTCATGAAAGAGGACCACGGCTGCATTATCCTACTCACAAGCGTCGCAGGTAAGCTATAGCCCCTTCTGAATGTGAGCATGAAGCCTAATGATTTGCTCGTCTCACACGTCGTTTATTTCTACGAAAGGTTGCGCTGAATGTTCTCGCTGCGCGTCAAGGGTCGATGCGTGGAATTCGTTTGGTGCAAACACTCACCTTTCGACGTGGCATGCGATGTCGTCCAGGTAAACGCTGACGTGGCTGCCGACATTCAGATTGGTTCCGTTCAGGTACAGACGAGTACCGCCCGACTGGGGTCCCACGCGGGGCTGCACTCCGGTCAGCTCCACAGGCTGTGACGAATGGCATTGCGCATGCTTCAAACAGTGTTACCTAACAGGCGGTTATTAGAAATGATGAATATAGCAAACATTGCAGTTATTTGAAGTTGCCAACCGGCAAGAATGTGGTAGCCGCTACGTTAGTGACTGCCCCCCCCCTTTTTTTTTGTCAGCGAAGCGAAAGGAGGACGGAATGAAAAAAAAATTAGTTTCACTGAATGTGAATGTTGCAGCAAGGGGACAGCAGTAATGCAGACGCTGCAAGTTGCAAACGCCAACGCTGGCGGCATTGCCATTTGAAACTTGCAGCTTGCTTGGTGTCCATTGTGGAGAAGGCAACCTGCATTTGTGATGCAGTGGTGATTATTGCCTCCTTTTCTTTTCGTAGATTCCCCAACTCTCAGCTCCCTCTTCTACACCTTCCCCCTACCTTGATATACTGCACCATAACTCGGCTATGACATATAATCTACCCTGCCCAATCAAGTCGGAACACAGAAAGCATACTGTTCAATGCTCGCACAAGGTTTACATGATATATTTACTTCGCGTCAATGCGTAGACAGCATGCATGACAGCCCTTATGGCAAAGAACACCAATTTATTCAGAATTAATTGCCACAAAAGTGACAAATTGGGGTTTACTTGATCTTGCAAGGAGAGCCATATTAAGAAAGCGACTTTTACACATGATGGCCTTTAAACAGCTTAAATGGCTGGCGCAGTTGTTCGCGTTCATATTTATTGCCACTGTTCGCGGCGGTACACAACGACGGCCCTCTCAGGAAGAGCATCATGGAAAGGAAGAGCGCTCCGTGACACACGTGCTCTGAACGCGTGAAGCAGCTCTCCGATTGCTAACGAGGCCGTATTCACGCCTGGTGAGGCAGCATTAACGAGTTCCAGGTTCGTGTAGAAAAGCAGAGGGGGGGGGGGGGGGGATTGCTTTTTCAGCTCGGAGCGCGCGTCGCCCACGAAAGCGAATGCCGGGCGCACCGGAACTGCACGATACAATTGAATGTTTCTCTGCCAGAGATAAGTAAAAATGGCTGCACCGTGAGGGAGCGTCGCCGATACTTGCATTCATTGCTCGTTATTTTGCCTTCACTGGCAAGAGCTTCCACCACATGAAAAAAAAGAGTATATATATACGTACGATGATTCCGCACGTAGTCTATTACAGCTCCACAGATAACCTGGCATTTGGGCTGAAACAAGCATTTCAGCAACTACTGTTGCGAGTTTTACTTGAACAAATAAATCAAACAAATTTAAATCACGCCCGGCTTTTGAGAGACGCACATCATTTTACGCTCATTTCTCCAATGGAATAAACTCGGTTACTCGTGGACATGAAACGCGATATTTCTGGGCATTTATTATATCTGCAGAACTTGGTCGGATGTACTGTAGTACTGTAAATTCACTGTGTTCCTGTTTCTCTTTGTAAAAATGTCTTTCCTCGTGGCTTCTCAGTTTCGCTTAAAGAGAAAGAAGTAGTGTCAGTTGCGAGTGGCGCTCTTTAGAAGGCCCCCGTTTCCAGGAATGCCTTACAGCACTCCCTCATAGCGCTGCTCGGTCGCACCTTCAACCGATACCTCGTTCACGCGGCGCGCGCTGACGGAGGAGCGTGCATAGCGCGGTGCCCAACAATGGGTCGGCGAAGCATGCGCTCCAGTCGGCACCTTTTCTGCGCTCGTTGGCACGGCTACGGCTCCCCGTTGAACGCGACTCTGGCGCGGCGAGGCCCGGTCGATAATGGAACGAGGCCTCAATGCACGCGCGGCACCAGCGATGGGCAGATTTCGGAGCACCTATGAAAATCAAGTCACGGATTTCGAGGGCATGGGCCAGGCGCATTAGTCAGGGTGATCTTGCTTCATTTGCGTAAGCTTTTATGACCTCATGACAACAGTCGAGATATTGGTCGTGTAATGGTGTGCCGTTGCAGGTGTTCATCCCAATTATCGCGCACTATCACAAAAAATTACACCACCTTCCGCTAATGGGAACCATGTGTAGATGCGAAACAGCAGGCACTAACGATTGCCCTGGCGGCGGATAAGACGCTGGCGCTTATCGTGGTGTTGCGCAGGAGAGAAACCTGGGAATGCACATAGCACACAGTAATGAACCGGTGTTTCTTACTGGAACATGCCAATCACTGCTAATGGGCAATGACGGACAAGAACTCATAATAGGCACAGAGACCCGTACTCTGCTTTTAATTAACACGCACGCGGCGAATATTTATTGTTCGACAACGCAGATGAGATATCTTACCGGCACTACCTTACAGGTGAAGATCCAGTGCCTATGCCTATCCATCGTGAACTTACTTACAGCGCAACACCAGAAAAAATACAGGGCAAGGAAGGAGCAGCAAAAGAGAAAGACCTATACCTATATACGGGTTGTCTATTGAACGGTTGTGCTGCACGAGCAGTCGAATTTTCAAATGCACAAACTCGCTAGCAGATGCAACCAGTGTCGGCGTTGCGAGGCGAGAAAGGAGTAATAGGGGAGGGGACGCGCATGCGCAGTAAGAGTGGTCAGGCAGCACATCGGATTGAACCCGACCATAAGATGCTTCGCATCTAAAAAGGAAAAAGTGAGCAGCTTTAGTGGCGTAAGGCTGGAACCATCAGTGTTCGACCTGGCTAAGTTTTGCTACTAAGACCAACCTTTGGTTAGAAGTACTAAGCATAGCTTAATTTGGCTGGAATTGCCAAGAAATGTCATGTAACGATTAGCTGTTGCGTGGTTTATGGCGGGAACATGTCTAGTTACTTGCTATTACGCGTTGTTGCGTGATTTTAATCGCGTGACGAGCCGTTAGTGATATTTAGTCTCGGGACAGGATGTGGCGTTATATTATGCAAATTTTTAGTCCCGCTAGTAGTTATGTGTTCTGACATGATTCAATTCACATGCTTAGCAACGCGACGTTACGTGATTTTAGTTATGCGAATGATTGCGTTCTTTTACGTTGTTTTAGCAGCGGGACTATAGCTATTACACGATGTTACGCGACTGTTAGTCCTGTGAGTAACTGTTAAGTGATGCTAGGCGATTTTGCGGGTCGTAACAGACTCCGCCCGTCACATTTGTTGTCATTCATAACAGGCGCAGGCGTTCTGGGAGTGAAGCAGGAAAAGAAGACGAAGCGACAGGGCAGCTCTTCATGACGAAGATAATTTCTATTCACACTACCTGGCGCAACAAGAAGTTTAAAGAGCTCCACTCTTGAAGATAAAATCGGCAAACAGGGTTCGAGCGGGATTTGAATCCAGGCACTCTCATGGCAGAAATAATATAGTACAGAATATTGTGATCACACAGTGCTGTTACACAGCAAATGTGTTGACTTGTTGAGAAGAGTTTTCAGCAACGGACGGTTGTGTATGGTGCACACATTTTCTCACACCCAGACTCGAGTTAAATTCGAGTTTTCAAAAAGTGATCGACGAAAATCGTGATCGCATCGGAATAGAGCGCAGTACACGTTGAGCTCGAAGCGCTGCGCCAGAATGCGTAACAAGGTGCGCATGCTCCGGGATCAGTACGAGAAAAACGCAAGCATACTTTCGAGTAAAACTAGGATGATACAAACAAAACTGTACGCACGCACAGGTAACTCCAAAGTTACCCTATTTTGCATGGACAATACTTCCCCAGTGTACCGCAGTCACCTATTTTTCTCACAATCGAAATCGACCTTTCATGATCTGTGCTCTGTGCGGCCGAAAGACAGCTCATCCCGATACAGGGCCAAACACAAAGGAACCCGCGCCCTCAAGGTACACGGCCCATCGAAACAGTCCGACTTCAAGAGAAAAGGTAGATCAGATATGTCGGAGCGGCTTTCTGTTCTAATCTATACTGAAGCTCAGCGACCATCGGCGAACAGCGTACGGCCCTAACCCGCGCTGGAACTGCACCAACGGTGCATCTACAGAAAACTAAACAAAGCGTTAAAAAAGTGTGGGAGTCGAAGAAAGGAATTTTAGCATTTTCTCGTTCACTGCCTGCTGGCCGCAGGCGCCTTATTCCGCGTGGGGCGTGGGCCAATGGGGCGTTCGCCCGAATCCCAGGCGTGGATGACGGATGAGGACCTAGATGGATCGTTCCTTTTCTTTCTCCACTCGCTCTCACGAATGAGTTAGCCATTCCGCTGGCTGCACTGAGGGAACAGAGCTTATTATTACCGGTTCGTGTGAAGGAAGAAAGGATCCGAATAGAAGGGAAATGGCGGCAGTGCTTCGCCGATGAGCGGACGGCACTGCGTCGGGGCTCCACTGCCCTTTTTCCCCTTTCCAAAGCACAACTTATGGTGCGGCTTTCCACAGCGTTAATTATAATGTTTATATCAATAAAAATCAATCACCGGGTCGAAAGAGTTGTTTGTTTCTTTCTTTTTTTGGTTTACCCAACTGTCGAACTTCGCCTCATAGCTGCTCCTTTGCACCCACAGGGGCGGGAACGCAGCGGAGCCTGTGATTTGCCGATGAGGGGCGTGCAGGGTATGCGGCATACGCTCAGGCCAACGCCTCTTCTATTTTATATAAAGATGGCGCTGCTCAGACACGCTGGTTTTCATCTCTGGCATGTTTGATGAGCTCTCGGCGATCACGGTCGGCCGCCTGCGATATTGTCTGCCGATGAGATAGTGGTTCGTGCTAAGACTATGCGTTAATTACCACCACAGGTTTCACCTTGGTGCAGCCGTAGCTACGCTGTGTGGATTTATCAAGGGTTATGTAATTACGAAAACGGCTTTTCAACTCGTTTTTCGCAAGTTATTTACTATTTTAGCGTGTCTATCACGTGGAAAGGAATATGAAAGGTCAAGTATGTAGGGCCCAACTGGTCTCGGGCAGACGTTGGCCGATGCTCCGTATGACTGATGACACGTGCAGTGAATAATGGAGTCCGTTATTTGCTGTCGAGTCCGGACAAATAGGTTTACGCGTACACAATGGAGACCCCGAGAGATGCTGGGCAACCAGTGT